TCTAACCGACCAGGTCGGTTTTGCTTAACACTGGGTCAGTTTCGGTTTCCATCTCAGGTAACCCGACCAGGTCGGGTCGGTTGGAAAAACCTCAGTAAACCGACCCAACCCGACCCGTGAACAGCCCTACTCAATATTTCATGTCGGGTCAGTTCTGGTTCTAGCTAGTCCCGGCCCAAACTCGACCCATTGACAACCCTAATAAAAGGAAATTAAAATGAGCAACTTGATAATTTTACTGTTCACATAACGTTGATTAATGGTTTTGGACTTGAATATTGATTTATGACAGATTAGAGTACGTAATTAATAATTATCACTCTTGAAGGTTGAGGGCCTTAACACCTCATTCACTTTTCAGGAAGTTACTTACTCAGGTAAGTGCATTTACCTGTATTCTTTTATTCCCCAGGTAAATAAGAAAATGACTATTTTAGCAATAAGAAGTCATTATTAAAATGGACAATTTTGTTCCATCCAAATGTTGGCAACTTTCCTCGGGGCCCTAGGTGGAAAAGTTACTTATAACCCACCTAGGAAATGGATATCACTTACCCTAAAGGAAAATAAATTTTCCATAGACCCCACATAAATTTGAAAAAAAAAAACATGAGTATCTTGGTGAATGGAAATCAAAATCCCATTGACCAACTTTCCCTTCTCAAAATCCAAAAAACAACATTCCCTAAGGCTCAGTTTGGAAGGAGTACAAATACAAATATGTACATTACAAATACATACAAAACAATACAAAATACAAGGTTTTACACTCTACATATTTGCATTTGCACTCCTTCCAAACCGAGCCTAAAGTGTCATGACTACCCCAAAACTACAAGGTATCCATAATTTTCCCTTATCTTTATACTAGTAACTTACACGTGCTTTGCACGAGGTAATTCTAGATAATGATAATGATAGTAATAATGTACCCAAAATTTTTTATAAACTTTATGTATTTTTTATTTTTGTTTTTTATTATTAATCGGATGCAGATTGCAATTCCAAATTTGATTACATAAACACCTCATCCAAATATATGATAATTGGATCGAGTTATGAAGTTTCAAGTATCATTGATAGGTATACATGCTTGGCTAGATTCTTATTTTTGTAATATTTTGGTGCATCTCTTTTTTTGTGCATTTATCAAAAAATGTAAGTTTTAAATAGAGGGAATTGAATGGGGTGAAAAGTAGTAGTTTAGTTTACAATTTAAACCTCATAATTAAATAGGAAATAGATTCCAAAATGAGTATTTTAGTCAAAAGAAAGTTCCACAATCTAATTCATATTTTTAATAGTAGTGTAAATATAGAATTATAGATGTGTTCAATTTTTCTATATTTTTGTGTGTAAAAATAATTCTAACATTTCACACTTACTTTTTGTTTAATATGATAATTATATGATTTTACACATGTGCCTAAATGTTTTTTTTTTTGCAAAATTTATGTATTTTTATATTTTATTAACTTTTATTATTTATTTATGACATTAAAGGTTAACATGTTTGACCCAAAATTTGAACTATTGATCTTTTTCAAACAATAAAGTAATTTCATTTTTAGTTAGTTGTAAATTATGTATTTCATTTTCATTACCAGTAAAATAATTTTTGTTTATTACACCTATTTTTTTTTAATTTGATTAATAAAAATATCATAAATGTGTCTAATTTTTTCTACATTTTTGTAAGTCTATATTTATTTCTATTTTAAAAATTTTATTACCTAACTATGACTTTGTAGGTTGATCAATTCGGATGGTTGAATTGCTTAGCCACCACTTGGATTAAAAATGGTTTTGTTTTTTAGTCAATTTTAAAATATATGGGTTTATATGTTAAAAATATTGACACATATCTAATTTAATAAGAGAAAATGAGAGTTAATAATTTAAGTATAAGACTTAATGAGAGGGGATTAAATGAGGTAGAAAGTAATAATTGAAGTTACATTTTCAACCTTACCATTAGAAATGGACTAAATACACATTTATGAGCATTTTAGTAGCCATGAAAATTGTAATAAAATGGCTTTTTACCCTTTCTCAAACAAAAAATGTAGAGGGTAATTTTAGTCTAAAAAAGTTTCACATTGTAGATTGCAACATCCAAATGGCTTTTATCATCATTCTAGATGATGATAATTATAGTAATAATTAATATTTTAAAAATTTTCTATAAACTTTATGCATTTTTTATTTTTTCTTTTCACATTATTAATCAGATGCAGATTGCAACATTCGAATCTGGTTACATAAACACCCCATCCAAAAATGTTATAATCATATGAAATTGTAAAGTTTTAAGTATCATTGATAGGCCAATTTGCTTAGATAGACTCTTCTTTTTGTAGTGTTTTATCTTTTTGGTGTATCTTTTTTCTTTTGTTCATTTATCAAAAAAGTATAATATTTAAATAGAGAAAATTGAATGAGGTGAAAAGTAGTTATTCAAATTACAATTTAAACCTTACAATTAAATAGAAACTAAATTCAAAAATGAGTATTTTAGTCATTATTTTAAAAACCGGACCAGACTAGACGATTGAATTCTTTGGCTCAGGAAATGGTTAGGTCAATGGTTCCATTTTGACCATGAACCACTATTTTACAAAAAAAAAAGAAAAAGAAATGTTGAAATGGTCAGAGAATCGCTTACTAGGATGGTTTAACTGTTAAAATGTTTAACCTAGTTAATGGTTATCAAGTTGCTTTCAAATTAATTCCAATTTTTTTATTTATTTTAAAATATAAAATAGAAAATAAAAATTTGAAAAAAAAAATAAACTTTCATATCTCATAATGTTGTTCGGTTATTCCTAATGGCCAAAATTAGTTAGGATTTTTAGTTTTTTCATTTTGATTTTGAGTTTTCTCATTTATATGATTCTTTTAAAGTTGTAACAACATAAAAATTACAACTCTAATAAAAAAATCAAAAAATCAATGCAAGAGATGAGAGATTAAACACCGATCTTATATTAGGAATACAAAATACAGTAATAAAGCAAACAATCTAGGATCTGAGAAAGATTTAGAGAAATGTAAAAAAAAGGACAAGTGGTGTTGTAGCGGTAGTGATGATGAATGTAGAGATAGCCACTAATGGCGGTTTCTTCTTTTACTTATTCTTCTTCTTCTTATCTTTTTTTTTTCTCACTTCTCAACTTTAACTAGTTGCCTCATTCTCCAAGGCTCACATTCCCCTCTTATGATAATGTATATATATATATATTTTACATCTTATCGGTTTGACCTGCTCAAACTGGACGGTTGAACCATTAACCCAAAAATCAAAAGCCAAAGCGATTTTATTTCCTGGTCGATTTTTAAAACCTTGATTTTAGTCAAAAGAAAATTCCACAATTTTATTCATATTTTTAATAGTAATGTAAATATAGAATTATAGATGTGTTCAATTTTTTCTATAACTTTTTTTAGTATTTTTTGTGTAAAAATAATTATGATATGGCATACTTACTTTTTTTTCATATGATAAATATATGATATTATACATGTTTCTGAATGTTTTTTTTTTACAAAATTTATGTATTTTATATTTTATTAATTTTTATTATTTATTTATGACATAAAAGGTTAACACATTTAACCCAAAAGTTGAATTGCTTATTTTATATTTCATTTTTGGTCAGTTCTAAATTATGTATTTCATTTTCATTAATTGGGCCAATTTTAAAATATATGGGTTTATATTACTATTAAAAATATTGACATAAATTTAATTAGTAGCATTTATTAGTGAAAAATAACTTATTATATATAATTTGATAAGAGAAAATGATATTTGAAACCTTGAGTATAAGACTTAACGAGAGGGGATTAATTGAGATGGAAAGTAATAATTAAAATTACACTTTCAACTCTTGCAATTAGAGATGAATTAAATACACAAATATGGTTATTTTATTACTCATTAAAGATATAATAAAAAAAAATTAAACAAAAGATATAATAAAATAACTTTTATACCATTTCTCAAACAAAAAAATAAAAAATAATTTTAATCTAATAAAAAGTCACAGTGAATTCACACTTTTATATAGAATATAGATACTGTAAGTTACACTTTTAGACATTAAATATAACAAAATTACAGGAAACCACTATTTGTTAACTATGTAATCAGCTGAGGTGTTAATCGGTTTGCAAGAGCAAAAATCATTCCCGAGTCCCGAGTCCAGTTATTAATTGGAACACAAAATAGAGCACCAGAATCGACATAATTGATTCGATCTGTTCGGTTCTGTCAGGTGAATCCGACCCATTGACAGCTATAGTCTAGTTTGTAAGGCATATATCGCCCTTGTGGATTGTACCCTATTTGGCTTAGCTTACATAATAAAACATGACGCAATAGATACTCTCGTCTCCTTGCAATCGCATTTAATACCTCCTTTTAGCTCTGAGAGAGGACGGGAAGTGGTATTTTTTGCACGAATTCTGATAATGTTTAATTGTCCGGCAAATTGCAATTAACATCAAATCTCGGCAAGCAAATAAAGGAGAAAATTGTGAATCGATCTCTCCCACATACATAGAACAGACTCAAATTTTGATCCAGGGAATGACATGGCTTATTCTAACCTGGAAACTATAACCAGGCTTAAAATTTCTGTTCCACTGATCAACCTTCAGATTCCCAGTCTAGCTCGGAGAGCAAGCTTTCCAGGCCTGGAATGGATAGGAGGTGGACTGTTTCTTGTTTGTTCCCGTCCAAAACACAGTGAAATAATTAAGAATACGGAATGAAAACATTTCTTAATTCCTTAAACAATTATTGTCTTTGATTTACTTCAGTGAAATAAGTATACCTTAAATCCAAACAAATTCTACTTAATCTTAATTATTTATTCCTTCCAGCTTGCTTCTCTTAGTGGATTTCTTTCTGAAGCATCAAAAACATAACCAGAGAAAAGGATAATTTCCAACTTCTAATGTTTATAATGAACAGAACATTGCAAAGTAAGGACGAAAGGAAGAAAGAGATCAAATTCTTACAACTTCCAATGAACTGTTGCAGTCCATTATGGTTACACTAATAAGCTCCTACGAAGTCATAATTGCACACTCGGATGCAAATGGGTCATATTGTACTATTCCTACATAGGTAAGAGAGAGAGAGCATATCGGTTTGGAAACACTGCCGCTTCAAGGATCTCGAGAAGAGGAAGAAGAACCTAACAATAACGTCTGCTGTTTGTTCTCAGTGATTTTATTCAGCAAAAGCAGCTGCTCCCATGAAAAAACACATTGTCTTTTGGAGTACAGCATGGTCTGTGCCACGGGAGAATTCACCAGCACCTGCAGCAGTTGTTGTCGGTTCAGTTTCTCCAACCCGCCTAGCTCCAAACCGACATTTCCTGGTAGCACCTCCCACTCGATGCTCGACTGACATGGCATGGTCTGCAGTGCTCTAAGCTGCGCCTTCAGGAATTCTATGTACTTGTACGCCTCTTCCAGCAACGTCGCCATGCTCATCTTCTTGTCCCATGGCATCAGCTTCTGCAGGCACCTCGTCCTGTCGCCAATCTTCTTCCGTCGCTGCCTAGCCAATGTGCTCATGTGCACTGCAGCCGATGACGGAGGGCTTCGCTTTGGCGCCTGTAGCCAAGCGACGGAACTAGGGTTCGGTAACGCGAAGTTTCTCACTATAGCTTCCAGTGTATAAGAGTCGGTTGATGACGACGACTGGAGATTTACCTGAGAAGAAGATTCGACGATGGCGAGCTCGTTTTGCTGCATATGAGAACTAATCGAAATTCCGAGATCATTAGAAGCTTGTTCGATAGAACGAAGCTCCGGTAACTGACGAAATCTCCAGTCGCAAAGAGGCAGAGTCTGATCGAGGCTTCCTGATCTGAAGCTGCACATTTCGATGGGATTGTCCATCATCAGTTGCTCATCGAATGGCTCGGGTTTGGGGAGTATTATCTTCTGGGAGTTGATGAAGCTGATAGAGCATTTCGGTGGTTGATCTCCGTCTGCATCGCAATCAATCATATTTTTGTTTCGAGGAGGCGTAAGAGAGTCACCGTAGAAGTTGAAAGCCACAGGATCTGACGTCGAAATTAGCGGAATTCCGATATCAAATGGAGTAATTCCTTGATTTATGCCAGATGAAGCGGAGAAATGGAAATCCGCCGCCCCTGAGAGGTTGAGGTTGAAGAAACCATCTTCGTTTCCCGGTCCAGTGAAGGCGGTAGAAAAAAGAAGGTCAGATGCTTTAGTAACAACAGAATTTGATGAAATATCTTTCTCCATGTTTCTTATTCACACTTCACACAGTTCGCAGTTGTTATAGACAACAAAACCGAAAATACAGAAACCTTGGCAAATAAAATGAAGAGATGAACAAGGGATATTCCTTCCAATCGTATTCACAGTCGAGATTAAAGAGAGCACAAACACACAAGAAATAAATAAATAAAACCCTAGGCGGCGGCGATCTTTATGCTATCGCATCACTCTCTCTCTGTATTGTCGTATTGTGATCTCCCTAACACGTGTAGCTCTCGCATTTGTACTCCAGGTGAGTGTGAGCGTGCTGATAGTTGTGCCTGGTCCCACCACTGCAGGCCCCGCTCTGTCTAAAGGCTGCTGCACGATCCAGAACGATTGGATCGTACCAATCGCCTGGCTAGATGGCGATGGACAGGAGGACAGCAGGACAGGGGGCGGTGCCCCGTGCCCCACTCTCTCCCCTCTTATTGCTGCTTCCCTTCCGTTATTGATTTCACGTAAAAGTAAACCACCTCATCAGACGCGAGAGCTTGCGTTTGGAGTTGTTCCGACTTCCGACGTTCGATTTCTAAATAAATAGTGTAATCCCCATCCGACGGCTCAGGGTGAATCAACCTCGTTTTACATTTAGTATCCATGCCCATGGAGAAAACGATGCTACTTCACCGAGAACGCACGAATTCACCATAGAGCGCGCCTTACACGCGCCACACGGCCCAATCTACCCGTCCATTGGGATCATCTCCCTAAGTTGTCATGGGGAACCGGAAATGCTCCCGATGCACGGTTGGATTGGGTAGTCGGTTGCCGTTTGTGAGAATCTGGATTTCCTGCAGAGGTGTACTTCCGATCAGAATCAGATACATAGGCACCTCACATGTGCGGAGAAAACTGAACGGTGAGTTTTTCTATTAAGTTTTTATAATACAATATTTAAAATTTGTAACTTAAAGAAAGCGAAAAAAAGAAAAGTGGGGATTCAATTCATGTCTTCGAGAGTTAGTATTCAATTCATGGATTGCCATTAGGTATTTTTTTATATATATATAGAAATTAATAATATATAATTATGTACATATAAAGCTTTGAGTTTTCTTCTATACTATTTTTTTTTACATTTTTAATTCATTTAATTAATGTTTTTCATATATTATCTCGCCTCCAAAACCACCCGGGTCAACCCACTTGGGTCAGGTTCAGTTTAATCTCCAAGACCCCAACCCTTGACAACTAATGTGGTCAAGCAGATATCTTTAACAAATTCAAAGATAGCTGCTTAACTAGAGATACACGATGCATGCTGAGTTTGTATGAAGCTGCACATCTTGGGAGTTGGGACTACGTGGAGAAGAAGTTGTAGATGAAGCCCTTGCAGAGCTCACCCTTGTCGTATGTGCATGCATGGTCACCAATACGAGTTCCTCTCTTCTCTTGTGAAACAAGTGACCGGATCGGTTTTGAATTGGACCCCATCCAGTCAAAAATCAATGTGGATTGGATTTAGTCCGTCCATAATAAATTTATATAGCATTCGGTTGGATTAAGTCAATATCTGGTTCATTGATATAAGATAAGAATATAAGTGTCAATGGACCGAATTTGGGTTAAAACCAATCTAAATTAAAACAAATTTGAACAGATTGGATGGTCTAGACATTGAATTGGACTGGTCCAAATTATTCATTTGATTGGATTGGATCTGGTCTATTTGTAATGGACTCAAATTGGATTGGACCGAATTAATTGAATCAAAACCAGTCCAATTGGCACCCCTACACAGGGGTATGCTGAAGTTAGAGGCATGGCGTAGGCATTACATATCTTTCTATATACCAAGAAGAAAAAACACATAATGAAGTTTTGCTACAGTTGGCAAACCTAAATTTCAATCGATTACAGTCATTACATCTCAAGGACCTTAGCCAAATATCAAAGTAAGTTTCTTAGGGTCTATTTAGTTCACAGTTAGAAATGGATTCGGAATTCATTAGAATCGAAATGAGAATGGTCTATTCCCATAGCCTGTTTGGTTCAGATAAGAATGGGAGTAGAATTCCAATTCCTGCCAATTAACCAAATAGTTGGGATCCGAATGGCCCATTCTGATTCTAATTCTAGACTCCTAATTCCGACTCCCCAATCTATTCCTTCTAGTTGCATGTATGTATGTTTCAACTAATATAATCTGGGTTTGTCTATGTCTTTAATAAAGGTGTGGGAGGTGTTAGACAGTGTATGCCCTTAGCTCCAATCAGAATGATGTACATTATGATATTTACTGTAAATGAATAAAGTACATATTTGAATCATGTTATTGTGGTGTGTTTCTGTATAATACCCTTAAACTGGACACATATGAGACTCGTGTTAGTTTAGAATCTTCACAGCCATTGGATAGATCTGGGGAGATTTATCTTGCCAAGGCTAACACTGATGTGCCGCCAAGTTGGTTGGGGTGGCTTGTCTCAACTGCCAGGGTGAGACCCAAGGTACATGCAGTGTGGGTTTTCTTGAAACCTTGAACCGGACTAAAATTCTAGTATTGCCCTGGACCTTGGAGATTGATGGGCAAAACTGGAATGTTACACC